GAGCAGTTTACTTCCTCATTGAGCAGTTCGCCTACGGTGTTCCCAAGTCGTTCCTCTCACGAGATAAGCCAGGGTCAGACCCCTGCAGAAGCAATCACGATACAGATAACCAATGCGAGCGGCGCGAATCACGCCGGGGCGCGCAGACGTGGGCCGCCAGTCCTGGCAGATGAGCTGTGCGGACCCCACTGACCATGACGAGGCCCAGAACGCCATGTAATCGTGAGCTAACAAAGCAGCACGTGCAAAAGAGCACCCTCACCCGCGTCTCCGGCCACACTCGCGATCTGTGCTTGCTAAACATGTAAAGATATTGGAAAGCCTCCTCGGGCGACCCTGAAGCGTCCCGCATATTAAAATGCTAACGATGAATCACCACATGCAATGACGATAGAAATAACCCCACATTCTTGATTACAGTAATGCTTTATCATTTTTGGTTTGTGTGGACGAACATCATCAATAACGCATGCAAGAAGATGCTCATACGAAAACAGTTTTACGGCAGGTCAATTCAACCATTGCTGGTCAAACGATGGGACGTCGAGTTGGAATTGTGCGGTAAGCGTGCCAAGGGTGACAGTTGCCTTTTTTTCGCACCAACGAAATTTGTGAGCAGTCTAAGTTACCACCTGAAGCCAAATATTTCAGAAACCGTTGCAATATAACTCTAAATGCAATAAACCACGAACAAAGACTCATATATGATATGATATGAGTGATAGTATATGATAATAGCATATATGATATGAGTGACAATGCAATGCGTTGTACCATCAAGCTCTTTTGTTTCGCTGCTTTCTTGGCACTTTGCACTTTAACTAAAACGAACTGCACAGAGACGTTGCAGTTTCGTTTTCAGTTAAGGGGAGGGATTGTAACTCTTAACCATGGATGTAGTTTCCTAATGTTATTGAACGATTTTTAACAATATTTTCCATTTATCATAATTTTTAGGCGTTTACGTCCTCTAAACTAATTTGGAGAAAAAACCCTTATTCCCAACTTTGAAAAGAAACTACGTCAAATCTGCGGAGAACACTGTTTTGAATGTATTTCGTAGACACACTCAGCCACTTTTTCCTGTCCTCTCCCTTCATCCTTCAACCCTTCGTATTTTTGCAAAACTGCATCCCTGTAGCCTTACATTTACCGATGGCATGTTTTTACAAGCACCTGACAACAATATCACTTTTGGCTTTGTGACGTCATCGTACAATCAACTGGAAGCGTAGGCGACCTTCACTATCATTGCATTATCATAACCAGTGTATAACTCACACTTCCCAGCATGATCCCAATCATTTAGAGCAAAACCCATGCAATATTAGCTTCAACAGATGCAGTAGACATTTTTGAACACCTCTTGCGTCTTCATTTAGCTTTATCTGTAACATGATCAAAACAAAAAGCGTTTTATCTCACGTCTGTCCATCGATCAGTACGTTAAGTCAGAGGGGCAACGGGCAACATGAGAGGACTACATCAATGATGCTCAGCTCCTTGCCTCCAAGCCGCTGTTCCTCACAGCAGCAGAAAGCCCCGGATGAATCTTTGACATGCGTCGCTTCAACGCACTCCGTTTACCTCTGGAGCTACAGCTCAGGCATCCGTAAACAACAATCCTCTTAGATCGGCGAGGCTTTTTAATGCTATTACATTAAAAAGCTGACGATCGGCTACGTTCTTCTAGCCAGTCTGCATCTCACGACACGGACACAACCAACAGCAGCCCTGAATCCGATGCATTCACACATGGCGAGCATTCGAGCTCACCTGTCTCAAATGGCACGACGCTTTAAAACGCTGCGTAACAAACTGATCACGTTCGTCTCAAGATGCTGTGGGCAGCCACGATCCTTACAACCAGTAATAAGACTAGCTTTTTGGTATTTTATGCTGTTAAATATGCGAAGTGAATCTTGGAAAATGTCGATGCCCATGATTTACGGCACATGTCAGGTCAGAGGTAAGCTCAATTTACGCGTGATGACATCAGTTAATCTCGATATCCCTTATCTGTATCACGTCCGGTGTCAAAAAAAGAAATGCTCAAATAACTATCTCAAAATGTAAACGAGGACGGCTTAACAAATGCTTAAGTAGCGGTCGATTTTACGATTAAAGATTTTCCAGCACAACTTCTGAACGCTGCATTGTAGCCACGCCAAACTTGGTAGAGCTGAAGACCATTGAGTAGCTAAATTTTTGGCATTTAGATCAGTTTACGTTATAATGTTGCTGACCTGTGGCAGGTCGAAAGCAGACCCTGGTTGTCAGGAAATGCAATTACACAGTAAAGATTCCCTTCATCACAGGGACGTCGGCATACTTTTCATTTCAACTTAATGATGGTAACGGGAGGTCATGGAGTACGCATTTTGATCAACCTTTTGCTTTGAGGAACATGCCACATAAGGGAGAGGTCGCATCCCCCCGTCAGACCTTGACCTCATTATAAAAAACGGCGAATTAGGGTGAGGGCTCAGTTGTCTCAGGGATCTCTGAGGCGCTCGTGTAGTGATGGCTCAACTTCACATTTGTTTTCATGCATACATACATGTCAGAGGCAGCGCTGTTACTGTTACGGTGCAGGAATTGCTGTGAAATATTACGGGACAAATTTGACCGGCTGGATTAGTTTAAACTGCCGAATTACTTCTTTTGAGCGAAATCGTATTCGCCATATTCTTTGCTCAGTTTTTTATATCAAGCAAACTAAGTATACCAGATGCAGCGTTAGATGAAAGGTACACATTTCGTCGGCGAACGACAAGCAATGCCTGAAAAACTTGACGTGGGCGATAGACAAACCGCTCTAATGTTTGTGTAACTAAAATGTCCTTTTTGTCATGTACAGCGATGTCCATTTCTACGTGTGCTATTGCCACGTTTCCTACAATATGCACTTGAATGCATTGCACTCTTAATGCGCTCTAAAATGCATACCAGTCTCAAGTTCCAGATCTCTTTTCTGAGCCTTTCCAATCCTGTACTTTTGCCTGCCGCATTTCGATGCAAAGCTGATGTCAAATCCCGTTCGTAATAACGTCGTCTGTCAACAAATTCATCGCTGTGTTTACAGCACAGTGAGCCTGTTTATGACGGCGCGTATCAGCTCTCTCATATCAAGGTTGACTTATGGGTGGGAGAGCTAGAAAATTGGCAGATGGCCGTAACAAAGTGGGCTCTTGACGAAAAACAGCGCATAAGGTACTTACACTAACATTGTGCTGAAAGTTAAGAGTTAACGTAAGAGTTAACGTTAGTTAACGTTCAAAAGTTCATCTCACTTGTTAGCTGCAGTGGCAAAATGCTGAAAGGAAAGGCAACATGTCATTTTAGGTGTGTGTCATTGCATCCCACCCGTGTTATGTGCTCACAACGAGCTGCATCTTGTGCGAGGTTCTAACTGCCTGAAAAATGTTATTGTATGAAATGGAAAACGA